GTTTTCTAACCCCAACCTTTATTAGGTTTCGATCCTACCTCAACTTTAATTAGGGTTTTTAACCTTAACATTTATTATGATTTCTTAGGGTTTCTAATATAGGGATTTTTGTTCGACTTTATGAGATTTTTTAAGAGCACCGAAACTACAAAATATGACAAATCAATGTATCTCTCTGTCTTTTTGTCGAAAATATCCATGTATTATTGTAGAAGGATTGACTAGCCCTCGTTCGTTCAATCATATAGTCTGCAAATAACTATTATCTTATGAATCTTAATTTTTTTCTAAGATCACTTCCGGTGGCGCAATTTTTACTCCAAAAGCTCGTGCGTAGGCTTCCATTAAATGCTGATTATCTCGAAAACGAGCTCGGGACACCCTATTTTTCTTACCAGATTTGGAATCAGCATTAAATTTCAATTCGGAAAATCGAAGTTTTAAAAAAAAGCTTAAATCAATTTCCAAAAGACGGCAGTCACCTTAAGTCAAGAGAAAGATAGAAAATTAGATTTAAAACATCAAAAAGCATAAATCTTTTTAAACCTCATTATCCTTTAATAAGGAAAAATGAAAAAGATATTCGCAATGTTTGACGAAATTGGAGAAAACACGGAGAAAAGGGATATAAGTTAAGTCGATTGTTCAAGCATTCAAGAAGCGCGTAAAGAATCCGCTTGAAAAAGTCCAATAAATATTGTTCTCTTAACGTTTATTTTTCAAAAGTAATGTTTATATTTTCGATGGCACAAGAAGTAAACAACCCGGAAAAAATGCTGCGATTGCTGCTTTGAGAAGAGTGAAAAACTTTCTGAAAAAAATATGATGACGTGAGCATTTTAGATACTCTCATCTAAAATGGCTTTTCGACCAATCAGAGCGCGCGTTAGAACTCAGTTATTTTAAAATAGTTTTTCTAACCCCAACTTTTGTTAGGGTTTCTAACCCCAACATTTATTATGATTTTTTAGGATTTCTAACCCCAACTTTTATTGGGTTATCTAACCTCAACTCTTATTAGGGTTTCTGCCCAACTTTTATCAGTGTTTCACTAACCCCAACTTTCATTTTGGTTTCGAACCACATCTTTTATTAGGTTTTCAAACCCCAACTTCTATTAGTGTTTCAAACCCCAACATTTATTTCGCCGGTTTCCAGCCCCAATCTTTATTAGGTTTTCTAACCCCAACTTTTGTAAGGGTTTCTAACCCCAACCTTTATTAGGTTTTCTAACCCCAACATTCTTAATGTTTCCAACCCCAACCTTTATTAGGTTTTCTAACCCCAATCTTTATTAAGTTTTCTAACCCCAACTTTTGATAGGGTTTCTAACCCCAACATTTATTTCGCCGGTTTCCAGCCCCAATCTTTATTAGGTTTTCTAACCCCAATCTTTATTAAGTTTTCTAGCGCCAACTTTTATTAGGTTTTCTAACCCCAACTTTTGTAAGGGTTTCTAACCCCAACCTTTATTAGGTTTTCTAACCCCAACATTCTTAGAATGATTTTCACATGACCGTGAAAGAAAATAGACCATTTAGTTTGTAATAGTTGATAAAGAACAAAAGAAAATCATTGGTTTAGAGTCTACTACTAACTATTAGTTTGCCTATTCTTTCACGATCATATGAAAATCACTCTATTGTTTCCAACCCCAACCTTTATTACGTTTAATTTTCTAACCCCAATCTTTTTTAGGTTTTCTAACCCCAACTTTTGTTAGGGTTTCTAACCCCAACCTTCATGAGGTTTTCTAACCTCAACTCTTATTAGGGTTTCTGCCCAACTTTTATCAGTGTTTCACTAACCCCAACTTTCATTTTGGTTTCGAACCACAATTTTTATTCCAATTGATTCCAACCACAACTTTCATTAGGTTTTCTAACCACAACTTTAATTAGGCTTTCTAGCGCCAACTTTCATTAGGGTTCTTAACTCCAATTTTTATTAGGGTTTTTAACCCCAACTTTTATCAGGTTTTCTAACCCCAACATTTATTTCGGTTTCAAGCCCCAACCTTTAATAGGTTTTTAATGTCCAGGACATTGAATAGACCAGTTTCGAATTCCAAATTACCACTGTGTTCCTTGATTACAGACTCATTTGCACAGGGTTAGCCTCGCATCAGTGTTTAAATATTCACAAATACCAACGGTAAAGGAAAGAATGCACAACTTCAACAATACAAACACTTTGAAACTCGACGGACCTTGACTGGAACACGTGAATATTCTGCACAAACTCGAGGCTAACCCTGTGCAAATGAGTCTGTCGAGCTTGACAGCGCACCAATTTCACACTTTTGCGATTTTCTCAAAAATAAAAATACGCTGGAACATTTTGATATATTTTTTGTGATAGTCCAAATATGATGAATTTGACAAAGTGGTCGCTGAAATCCGATTCTCGACCAGGCAGTCGCTCTTAAATTCAAATTCTAAGTACAGGGCGAAAGAGGTACTACTTTTCAAAAGTCAGCCAAGATTTCTTTACTTTGTTTCACGATTTGACGACTTTTTTGAGTTTTTTAATCTCATATCTTGACACTACAGGAACCTAGCTTGGGATACCTGTAGATTTTTAAATGGCTACCAAGCTCGTTCCAAGGGCCCTCTCGGTCGACTACAATACTCAAGGAACGAAAATGCTAAAAGACAGGATGGACGGTTGTGCAACGTCTTCAAAATATCGACACTTAAACGGTAAGAAGCTGTTGGATTCCTTGTAAGACTGCTTATTTATAAACCTTAATAGTATTTCCTGAACTCTTAGTTATTTGATTTTGGCTTTCGTTGATTTTTCGAGGAGCAAACAAGTTGAGTTTCTTGGCGCCCTCGTGTCGGCGTATCAAACGATAAAATGCAACAGGTCTTACTTCTTAAGCTTATATAAGAGAGAAAAACTAAGTATTTTGGTCTTTAATTCGTCAATAGGCTATCTTTGATATATGATGGATGTCAGAGTTGCTTTTTTAGTTGTCAAATTGGCTCTTTAGTCAACTAAGAGAACCTCACTCCACGATCACAGAAGACAGACAAATGCGGCGTGGGGTCAACGAAAGCCCGGGAAAAACGAAGGACAATGAAATATAATATTTTACAATTAGACTAATAAGAGGCTGACTTTTCTATTTAACAATTAGACTACGAGTTCCAGTTTCTAGCTAATATTATAGTATTGAATTCAAAAAATGACACTAAAAACTTTACTGAACAAAACGACGGTCAACCGGCGGCACTTTTTTCAATACTAGTAATGTTTGCGAACTAGACTGGAAGTCTTATAAACCTATAATAAGTTTAGTTGCTCTATTTTTATAGCTTTTTGTCTTCATTATTATGGTCAATACTCTATTTTCGATATTTTTCACCTTTTTATCTGTTCTTGGGATCAATTTTCGGACCTCTGAGCTCCCATTGATTTAGATACAGTGAGCTCAATTCTTCAATTATTTTCTTATTTGAGAACAAGTTAATGTCCTTCAAAATGAAAACCATTAAAGAAAGCAATAAAAATGCACAAAATCTATAGTTTTCTTCTCTTTCTTCGATAAAAGTTTTTCATGACCATTTCACATAATGATGTTTTGATATCCACGCAGAGGAATGCCGGTATTTTCTATCCACCTATATACACTTTTGATCCACATACATACACATTTGATCCACATATATATCCAACATTTCTTTGAACTGAACGGAATTGTATAAGTTTTCACTAATAAATAGTTCCAGAAATCAACGGGTTTTCATTTTAATTTAGATGTTGATTTACTTTAGAAAAAACCTTAATATCAAGGTATGTGAAACACATTACAAATAATCAGTGAACTGAATGGCGTTTTGAAGGTGAAAGTCATTTCAATCCAAAACTATTTGATTGATTACAAAAACAGTTATGGTATTATAAATTTAGCTATTGATACTTCATGTCAAGATACAGTTATTAGATACTATAAACAAGAATTTAAAACAATGTCCTACTATTTAAAGCAGTTTGAAGGCATTGGTTTGAATAAGTCTGTGACACCAATGTATGTAATCATCATGAACAGCCAAGCACATAGTCCATAGTTTCCATTTATTATTTGATCATAATCTTTTACTTGTGACAACTTTTTAAACAAAACTCTTTTACATTTTGGATATACAAAGCCTATAGGACTTGTTATATACTTTATTTATATGTGTGGACTGAATGTGTATGTAGGTGGAACGAAAGTGTATATAGGTGGATGGAAAAGACCTGGATCGAAAAGACTGTGGATCGAAAAGACTGGTTACCACACAGAGAATTTTGTTTTTGTATGAACCATATTTTTATCTCGATGAAAATGATTTGGTAGCACCAGAAAGAAGAGATTATTACAAGGTTTGTGCTACTTCTCAAAAACCTTGAAAAGCCCTGAAATTCAAAACCCATTTTAAGGTATTAGGATACGAAAAATGGTTAAAAAAATGTTTTTCCCTTTAACAATTTTTTTTTTGCTCTTTTGCCAGTGTGAAATGTTATCTTTCATTTTTTTGTGAAACTTTTGCCAAATTTTGAATTTAAGGCCCAAATTTTTGAGAAAAACATAAATTGTGACCGGAAATCTTCCATCATTAGATATACTTATCTGTCATCTCCCACATACCACAATCGCATGGGTACTTGGATAGGAGAAAGTAATTCGACGAATTGAGACATAACATATTTGAGAGTGCTTTTAGAATCAGTTCTTATTTATCTGTATTTATCTTTGAACGTTTTTAGGTATCTTTTGATATTTCTTGTCCAAAAAGAGAGATAACATAATTTTTTCGCCAATTCAGCACTGAGAAAAAGCAATTCCACTTCAATCATATTTAGACAACACGCCAGAATCGTCCAGAGAAATTTAAAATAGCTGAAAATGTAAGTGTTGGTTAACCCCCTTACTGAGGCATGGACAAATATCATTTCAAAGAAAATAATGTAAGCTGCAAAAAAAAAAAGTATTTTAAAGATTTTTCATAAACTATGTTTATTCAGCTTTCAGAAAATGAATACTTTGTTTTTGTTATACTATAAAGCAGAGGAGGAGTGACTACTATCCCACAGTGCATTGCGAAAGCAAGTATATTGTCGAATTTTTTGGCACGTTGATCATTGTGTTCAAGTCACTGAAGCGTTTAGACCAAGAGATTTCTGTCAAAATATTCTTCAGAATAGAAGACTGTTTCAAATTTCTGCTCCTTTTTGCTCAAAAAGAAGAGTTTTTAAAGCATAGATGCCTCTTATTGAGCATCAACTTTCTTCGTAAGGCTTTTTGCCTGGGCTATTGTTTCAGTCTAACTTGAACATGGCGCTGCCCAAAGTAACACTATAATTATAAAGTCACGCTAAACAAAGATTTATTTCAAGAGAGTTCTAGAACCAAGCATCACATAGAATTAGAGAATTATGTTTTTTATTTAGCAAAATTATAGGCCATTCAAATAATAAACGTTCAGCTTTGCTGTGTTTCTAACAGCCTAACATTTTCTGATTGTAACTGGATGTCCGCCACTAATGGTCAAAGCCCGACTGAGGCAGTCAATGAGAAATTTGATTCAAGTTGTGTTTGTTCGACTTGGGTCATTCTGAAAAACAAAATGAAAGTCTATGTTAGAAACAGAGGCTTAAACAACCACATGACCAGTGATATTGATTCATTACTTAAAATTGGAATAGTTTCGATGGCGAGCGATCTGTAGTCATCAGCATGAAGCAAATGCTTCGTGACAACTATCTTCAGCTGGTAAATGTGAAAATAGTCAAATATAATGCAACATTTCTTGTTGAAAACCTGGGTCAAACTAAGTTCACTTTAAAGCTACAATGACATAACACATAACATGAGATTGACCCTCAAATTATTAAGTTATACATAGAGAAAGATACACCAAACTATCAAAAATAAAAAATCTCCCGAATGACAATAACATTGAAGAAAATGTAATATTATACACTCGTCTATTCAAGTCCAAAATTACACCAATGATAAATTATTATCTCCAGAACTTACTTAGTAATGCAGCAAAGTAGAAACATCCCTCGTTACTAGAATAAAAGCTATTTTCGTGTTGCCATTCAGTGAAGGCAGCAACTAGCCGCCATATTGATAATATCCAATCGCAAAGCACTATGGGATAGTAGTCACTCCTCCTCTGACTATAAAGTAAGTTATTTAAGTTCATGTGCGCAGTGGTCATCAACGTATCCTAATACCTTAAGTGCTCTTGAAATGCCCTTGAAAATAGCAAAGCTGCTGGATACTCCTTGAATAGTCCTTGAAATTGCTACAGTTCCTTGTTTATTATGATTATCTTAAACCTAATTTTTGTTGACAATTGAAGGGGTGAAAATGAAAATGGCTTTGATGCCTCAAGTGAATTGCATTAACAGTCTGCTGTGTGTTCAAGCAGAAACTTTAATTCCACTTTGTCACTGTGAGGCTAATTTAATTGCAGCTTTTTTTTTACAAGAGCATGGTATTTTTTGGCACAAATATATATTTTTGGCTTTGCGGGAAGCTACGCATCCTTTAAATGCGTGTGCTCAAGCAGAAATTTTAGTATAATATGGAATAAAAACCATTGCAGTATTATGAAACCATTGTGTGCTCAAGCAGAAAATAATATAATATGGGTACCGTTGATTCCATGGATACCCCCCTCTTGATCTGCCACTTCATTGACAGTCTCAGTTTTCATAAGTATTTGGTTTCAATCTTACATTTTCATCCTTCTGTTTTCTTTTTTTCTTCGTGCTGATAACCTCTTGTCTGATGAGTACTAAATCTATTCTATCTTATAATGCGTCGAGCTGAAATAAGTCGCTGGCGGACTTGTAACTCGTCCGAAATATGAGGAAAAAGCCTTGGATGCCAGAAAAACTTTCCCGTTTTCCTTGATCTTCCATTCTCAAACTTAAAATATTGTTTTCTTAAAAAGGAGAAAAGCTTGAAAAACGAACATTAAATCCATATTTTCGTCTAAATCTTTTTTGACAAAAACAGAATGTCGATAGGTCGTAAAAGCAAGTTTACCTGTAATGTGAGGTTTGTTTTGGCGTGTGGGATTGTAAAGGCGGAAACAAACCTTGACAGTGACCACCTATCATGATTGTAAAGCACCTTTGATTATCCATATATAACTGAACTGTGCAGTATAAATCATAAATCATCTTATTTATTGCTGGAAAGAGTGAAGCAGGCGCTAATGTCAAAAAAAAATCGACAAAGTGTCCTATCGATTTTCGAAGATCTTTTTCTTAAACTGTCTACGTGCACAAGAAGACGACAAACAAGCAGGCCATCAGCTTTAAGCAGGTAAGTTCTAATGGCCCACCTGTCATTCAGTGATTGGATAAGAAAACAATTTCAGTCCTTCATGAGTAAAATGCTTAATCTGGCTAGCTCCAGACAATTCTAAGAAACACAGCAAGTCTCAATGTTTACTGATTCTCTTCATTTAACATTTTCCTTTAAAATCGACCAGGAATTTCAAGCTTGGGCTGCCTGTGTTTTCACAATACGCAAGACAACATGCAGACTGATTTCATCGTAAGATTTTGATTGATCACAAGAAAACAAAGTTAAAGAAAGAACACCCACTTATTTAGCTACAGATACCAATGTGTTGCCACTGTTCCTCGTCTGGTAACGAAAGAATGCAATGAGGAAAAGAGACCTCAGGGTGCACAACGATGCTACAAGGAATAATCCGGAGAAGAAAACCAAGACATCACAAAAAATGGCTCTTTTTAAGGCCACATTATGGTAGGTGTTTTATTGTAAAATGATTTTTTGAAAGCAGTCCACCCCCTCCAGGGGTGAACCACAAAAAGGACAGATTGCTACAAAGGCATCGCGTCCATGGGGTATAGGGACTGTTGACCAGAATCTGTAAAAAAAGAATGTCAATAATGTAAGTATATATATAAATTCTAAGTATAAATGCAATAGATGTAAAAGATAAAAAAAGATAAGGATTTATTCTTGGGGATTTACAAGGGTATTCCATAGTTACTGGCCTGTGGCCTCAGAGCAAACATGTCCACAAGGAACAAAGGCATGAGTTGGTACCAGTTCTCCTTTATAGAAAGCTCTTTCAATTCCAATTTGCAGTATAAAGCTGCTTACCTGCAACCAATCAATCAAATTTACAGTTATGACTTATCAAGTATCATTAACAGCCAGTGTAAGGAAGCCATGTCGGCAAGGTCTCGATATGGGGGAGGGGGTAACATGAAACTGCAAAGCGCGGGAAAAAGGTTTTGAAAACAAAGCTGCGCTGCGTACGTGACCAGCAGCGTTCGAATATTAAGATGTTTAGAATGCAATCTTTGTTTCTGTTTTATTACGCCAACCTTAAGTGCACTTTTAAGTCACATTCGAAAGAACCATAGAAACGAGTCCAATTTTCATGTCCTGTGTGGTATAGATGGTTGTGCAAAGACCTTCAAAAATTTTCTCTTACAGAAATCATTTTATTCGCAAGCACAACATCACGAATGATACACAAAACGATTCAGAAAATGATGACTCTGGTGTGTTTGAGTGCTCTAGCATTAGTGAAGCTGATCTGACGAACGAGGAGGGACAAGAAATTTAAGGTCGGGCAGACAATGGACAATTCGACGCACAGCGAGAAGCCGAAGAAATGAAAAGGGCAAATGCTCTTTCCCTGCTGGAACTTAAAGAAAAGGGTCAAGTGCCTCAGACAATTATAGATAAGTTTGTCCAATCTTCCACAGAAATCGCAAGAAACAGCATTGCAATGTTGAAATCTGGCTTGACTCTGCTGGAATAGATTTCGGTGCCGTTCCCGGACTTAAAGAACTGTTTGATGAATCAAATTTGGCAATGAATCCATTTCCTGATATCGAGAAGGAACCACTGCAGTATAGATATTACAAGGAACATTTAAATCTTGTTGTAAGTTGTATGGAATGGAATGCAGACCATCTTGGGAATAAAAGTACTGCTATTGACAGAATATACGCCTAATTGTTTTTATGTAAGGGTGTATTTGAACTATTTCCCTTTTTTTTAGGAGCAAAAAATAATTCTTGGAAGATATCACACCAAAGTAAGACGAGGCCATAGACTTAAAAACATCCAAAAAACCGATGATGCCCTCTATATTCCATTACTTGAGTGTCTGGAGCAACTTTTAAATGATGACTCTATAGTGGAAGAGGGAAAGAAATAGTGAGTTAAAAAGTGTAAAAAACAAACCTTTTTTCAAATAAATAAAAAATCTCGATTTTGGGTTGCTAGTAAAGTGCTACCTGGCCAGCTGTTATGTATACGAGGGGGAAAGGTGGGGGGGATTTTACCCAAATTTCAAAGCCCAATCACCCAGCTTGCAGTATGTTTTTGCCCAATTCGATTTCCCTTTTTTAAAATTATTATTTTATTATCCCAGTCCTGGAGCATCTAGTCAGTGTTTGTAACACACATCTGTAATATTGTCTGACTTATACTTGTACATATACATGAATATAGGTAGAAAACCTGCATGGAAGATATGATGATTTGCTGTGTGATTTTTGTTTAAAGATGTTTTTAAAACTCACCCCTTGTTTGGAGCTGATCCATATGCACTACAAATTCTTCTTTATTTTGATGAGCTGGAAGTATGCAATCCCCTTGGTTCAAGAGCAACAACACATAAAATAGGTAACATTAGCCACATGTATGACACCTTAACTGTTGCTAAGCAATATCTACACTATCTAATTCTGCATCGCAGTACAAATTGATCTCAAAAATGAGGCTGAGATATATTCATTTGTATGAAGTGCAAGATAAATTATTAATTCTTATAAAACTATAAAACAAATATCATAAGTTACTGCGTAAAAGTGAAATGACAACAAAAGAACACAATAGAAAAGAGTTAACTAGCTTGTATAAGGCTGGCGTGTATTTCACGGGTTTATGAAAAACCACTCTAATTTGAAATAAATAAAATAAGGACAAACATGTTTATTAATGTGCTGTATGTATTTCTTATGTAGGTGCATTCTATTATACAATATGAAATATAAAACCAGAAAACCGTTCACATTTACATACTATTCAGCTTCTTGGACTGCTTCCCAATAAAGACATAAAAAATTATGGAATAGATCCTATCTTGGAGGCCCTCATGAGTGATCTACATCTTCTAGAAAGGGTAGGTCTACATATGCAATGATGATAAATGTGACATTATTTTAAGCTCTCACATTAAAAATGAATTAGGAAATAAAATTTTACTTCTGTGATATCTTTTTTTAAGGATGATGGCTATGAATTCACTATTGTAGGAGAGCCAAGATCATTCCGGGGAACTATTGCTCGGGGGACAATCTTGGGTCCCAACTTTTAGGTGGCTTCAAGCAGGGCTCCAAGTCACATAGAAAATGCAGAGTTTGTATGGGTGATCCTGAAGCAATCAAAACATATGTATGCAATATCTAAAATAGTTAATTGAAATATAATTCTCATAATTTTTCTTTTCAGAATATGTAAAGCATTTAATGTTTTTTATTGCTTACTTACTTTTTTTCCAATTCCATGAGGGTAACTTTCTTCTAAGAACTACAGAAAGCCATAGTCAACAGTTCCAAAGACTTGAATTGGGTGAACATTTCAAAAAGACCTATGGCATTAATCAGAACTCAGTTTTAAACAACTCCTTTCTATTTTACTCAAAAAATAGAGTCAAAACTACTCTGGTTGTTTCCGTCAAACATTAATTGAAAACAGTTTGGTCTATTTTCTTTATCTAAAAATTTAAATTTACTCCAGCATTTATAATGTACTCTTATGTGCTAATGTTGAACTGTTCAACATTTCCATAGAGTTACTTTTACTCGGAGGAATACAAATTACTCTCGGCATGGTTAAAATAACTCTCTTTTTAGAGTAATTTTAACTCTCAAGTTACTCCACTATGTAGAGTAACTTTAACTCTTTTGGTAGAGTTATATCAACTCCTGAAAAATAACAGTGTAAAGTAGAGTCAACGTTGCCTAAAGTATACGAGGAGTAAGCACTTTTTTACTTTTGAGTAGTCTTATTCATAGTATTATCAATATTTATTTAAAACCAAACCCTAAAAATACAACTAATTCCTTTAATGTTTGTTTACATTGGAAGTAGTTCATTGAATGTATGAGAAATTGTTTATCCTATTTATCATTGACATTGAATCAGTAAACGATTTAAATCAGTAAAAAGCACTAAAAAGGTGAACAGCAATTTAACAATAATAAAACAATGGCCGATTCAATTGCTTTGCTTTCAGTAAAAAGCACTAAAAGGTGAACAGTAACTTGATAATAATAAAACATTGGTCGATTCAAGTGTTTTGCTTTCATTGAAATGTTCATTTAATGTTTGCGTATTGTAATCATTTATCTTATTGATGATTTTCATGGAATATCCGCAATTAACTATGAAAATTGGTAATCACTTAATGGTAAACAGTAACATAACAATATAGAACATTGGTGAACAGAAGTGCTTTGTTGTACAAGGAGTTCAATGTTGCTCTATAATAGTATAAGAAAACGTTTGGTGATGACTGTTCGTTCAATTTTCCAACAAAACGGCTTTGATTACAACGCAAGTATTCTTTATATACATTACTTGAATGTTGTCAAGGAAATCTGAAGAAATTCGGCAATATTGTTCTCCTTTATCGTAACAACTTCTGGAGTTAAAAGATGTGCCAATATCTCATTTCCAAATTTAAGGAATATTGGATCGTCAGTGTTATGAAGTTTAACTTCTACTTTCAAGGTTAATTCAAATGAGCACTTACCTCCCTTCATTGTACTACATCGTTTGCACTTCACAATTTTAGTAGTGCTTCCTCGGTGAATCTTTCTGGAACATTTATTGCATTTCAAATATTTCTCGAAGTGTTCGATTGTTAGAAGTTGTTCGATTGTTAGAAGTTCTTCAATGGTCGCCGTTCAAGTTCTTTGTTATCCACTAGTGGGGTAATTAATGTGTTTTCAAGAGTGGAGAGTTTCTTAGATTTTGTTCCACACGCACATTTAAAGGATGCATGTGGTAAACTTCTCCAAGGGTGAATTTGTCGATGTTTTCTTCCCAAATGTCAAACGGAATAGATCCAGTGTTGTCCGTTAAAACGCCATCTTGCAACTTCAGCTTCTCGTTGCCGACGACTACGATGTTTTTTTAAATGTATTGGTAAGGCTGTTGCATTTTAATTTTATCATAAAAGAACAGAGAATACATGTGCTTTGATCTTTTTGTAGGCTAATTCTAATTCTAATACAGGTGACGCAATAAGATGGAAAGGATATCAAAACCCCTGTGTTTTCACCGTTGTTCAGTATGATATCTCTGAGAATCGATTTGCTTTGAAATACTTCAGACAATACTCCGTCTATAGTGAAATTCTACTCATAGAATCCCAATAAACAAAACTAATACGAAACAATGACACAACACTCCTTTGTTTGGCACAATGAGAAGTTTAATCCAACAGAAGAAAAATAAGGCCTGGTTATAAACTTCTCAAACCTCCAAACCCGCCAAACAAAGGAGAGAAGTGCGCATCGTATGTGCGACTTGKAATTTACACGACATTGAGAACTCTAAGTATGATTTATAAGCCTCTGAAGCCCAGTCCCCATACACTTGAATAAATTCTCCCGGTATTCCCGTCTTAAAGGCCCAGGTGGTAGCCCCTCTTCGAAATGAGTGACCGCGATATCTTTGTGCGTGAGGGATTCCCGCTAAGGTCAATCTATCGCGAAACTCTCGAATAAATATCGACTTTGTTAGGGCAAATGACTGTCCTGCTGAGTCCAGTAAAACGAAGGCAGGCATGTGGGGTCTGGAAGGGATAAGCTTGCACATAACATGATACAAATGTACCGGACAAATGGGTGACCCAGGGATAGGTAACAGAGGAAGTGAATGAACTCGTTTACCGCACTGCATCGTCTTAGACCACGTAAAGGAGCAACCCCGCTGAACATCTGCTTATGTCCTCTCTACATAAATGCACCTGGGATCAAATTTCTTAAGTGACGGCGGGACTATGTTAGACACCCTAGCAAAGAGAAAAAAGGTGAAGCTGAATGCGCACAACAAAACAACATCCCGTTCATTAGAAAAGTCGCAGTTCTTAGCTATGGTCAACAGCAATTCAGGGGTGGCTGGCAGGGCACGGACTGGAATATGCCGAGCCAGGCGCTCTATACCCCTAAGGGTAATTTTGATCTCGTAAGATTGGAACTGCGACACAGATTCCCCGAGGATAATGTGTAAAAGCTTAACACCGCTCAAATAATTGCGGACAGACTCCGGTGTCATGTTACGAGATAGAAACTGACAATATAAGGATAAAACCTCGGTTAACACCGGAATGGCACAAAAACTAAAATAGTTACAAAATAAGACGTAAGCACGCCATTGCGTCCTGTGGTTCTTCTGAGTCCCTTCAGCGTAAGCTGACCTTTGTGTCTTTTGTAGGTCGCGCTTGAGAGTCACCATCTCCACATCTGTAAGACAAGTCAAAATTCAATGCTGAATAAGAATAAATCATTTTCTACGATAATATCTGTCATGACTGCTGAATCTGTTAACTGCTTAAACTGTTGCTCAGCCGTGTGGTTGAGATGCCAACGCGATAAACAATCAGCTATGTGATTGTCGTGAGTTGAAAGATGAATAGCGCTAAGCTGAAATTGTCCCAGCGCGGTACACAAGCAGATCTCCCTAACACATTTAGCTAGCATGCTGTCCTTCGTTCTCCCGGAATTTAGAACCGCGACCGCTGCTTCGTTATCGCAATACACTGTTATGTTCAAGCCCTTCCATCTGTGACCCCATAACCGTACTGCCACCATAACTGCTATCATTTCCAATTGATGGATAGGCAACTGTTCCTTCAAGATAAATTCAGGAAACTTTGCATGAAAGTAAGAGTCTCCTGCTAATCCTCCGCAACCTGTCACACACGCGTCGGTTGAAAATACTTTATCTGGAGCTGACCAATGTAGAGACGGGATAAGAGAAACTCCGTTATATTTTCGTAAGAATCGTTGCCACCACCGAAGATCTTTATGAAAACCTGAGGTCAAACGTGTGCGATAGTGATTGTGTTTCAACGAGCATAACAGTTCCAACATCCGATGAAGAAAAATCCTGCTCGGTCACACACATTTTGAAATGAATACTAGCTTGCCGAGTAAGGACTGCAATTGTATTTTTGTACAGCTTGTTTTATTCTTCCAACCGTTGAGCAGTTCTTCGATCTCCTTAATGCGGGATTGCGTTACGGACATTGTCATCGCTATAGTGTCAAATTGAACCCCGAGACAAATTACCGACGTACTTGGCGGGCATGCTTTTGACGTTGACTCCCTGAGGCCGAGGTCACCGAGCAGATTACCTAGGGAATTGTACGCTGTCCATGCTGTGTCAGGTGACTCGATTCCCATAAAGTCATCTAAATAATTGAGAACATTAAACCCGTGTTCCCCACATATATCACTGCATGAAATAATGGATTCACCATAGGTGCAAATATGAAGTGAATTTCGCGGTCTATATTTGCTTCAAATTCGCGCTCATCGAAAAAGTGACTCAAAAATGATGTTTGATGTGAATGTGAATTTAAGGAAAAACTGATGCAAATGTATATCTTTGCATCATTTTTCGTCATGTTTCATAGCCTTTGCTAGTATCATGTTTTTCACAGTTTCACGCAACTTTGCTTTAAATTCGCGCTCTTTGAAAAAATGGCTTGAATATGATATTTGATGTCGATGTGAATTTAATGTAAAACTGATGCAAATTGATATCTTTGCATATGTATCCATTATGTTTCGTAACCTTTGCCACACAGCTATACATAACTTCGCTCCAAATTCGCACTTATTTTTTAAAAGAAAAGGAAGAGAATATTATGATATTTGATGTAAATAGTAATGAAAAGCATAATTGATCTAGTATCCCCACCACCACCACCCAAAAAACCACCCAAAGACGTTTTTACGATCTTGTGTGCATAATTATATATTTTAAAACAATTATTCACTGAAGGTGAAGTTATATAATAGGAATATCACAAGACATTTTAGGGACCACAAGCACGTACTGGTGGATATGTTTTCGTTAAAAATCTTACTGAATCTTTCTGCCAAGAGGTTTTAAGCTTCTAAGCCGGCAAAGCATCCTGGTCCGGGTACGTTTGTCCACTGCCCATGGTCCTTTGCGATCGTTTTTATATTGTCCGATCCCGAGTCGACTACAACTAGCACGCGGAGTGTCTTTTTACGAAAATAAATGAATTCCTCTAATGACACG